TACCAATAAATGTAATTATGTATATGGTGATCCAGAACTGTGAGTTGTTGGTGGAGGGAACTCCCTCTATCGATGCAAGTGGGTGTGTGGTGTGACTAATCTATGATCTCAACAGTGCTGGTACTCCAGACAGAAATGAAGACTGTAACCTTATCCACGTCTTATTCTGTACTACCCTAGTCTATACTCTCCCCTACATCCTCCACAGAACATCTACACAACACATTAGAGTTCCAGCTCTAGGTCTTAGCATTCCAGAGGTGAAAGGACGGCACTTAAACTGTCCAATAATTACACCTCTCTCTCACTCCATGACTGGTGTATCTCATTTTTATACATGTTCTGCATGACATCTTTTGCTGGCTTTTGTGCAAGTTATCATGGATAATATTTTGAAGTCTGTTAATGTTTAATACAGACCTTTCCAGCGCCCGCTGGACTACCCTCAATTTTTATTTCTTTGGAGACTGTGGTGCTTGATTCTTTGGAAACTAAGTGTGGAATAGCAGTTAAAGTGCTAGACCTGAATTCGGGAGAAGCATAGGTTCAAAATCCACCTTTGATACTAAGTAACTAGGTAAGCATAGGTAATTCAATCAGACTGTCAGCCAGCCCTTCTTATGTATATATTATGCACCAGATAGTTTTAAGTGACAAGGATACAAAGAAAGGCAAAAAACAGTCCCTCTTCTCAAGTAACTCCCCAGTCTAATGGAAGGAGATAATATGAAAATTACTATGAATTAATTAGTAGTTAACAATTAACAAGATATATGCAGGATAAATTGTGGATAATCTCAGAGAGAAGGCACTAAGATTAAGGGAGGAAGGGCTTCTTGCAAAATGTCAAACTTTAGTTAAGACCTGAAGGAAGCCATGGAAGCTAGGAGGCAGAGATGAGGAGAAAGGGCATCCCAAGCCTGGAAGCTAGCCAGTGAAAATGCCCATAGTAAAATGATCAGATATGCACTTTAGAGAGAGCAATTTGAGAGCTCAGTGGAGGACTGAGGCACAGAGACCCTCCAGCAGGCAACTGCCATAGTCTGGGCATGAGGTGATGAGGGCTTGCACCAAGGTGGTAGCAGTGTCAGAGGAGAGAAGGGAGTTCATGTAAGAGATGCTACAAAAGTAAAACTGGTAAGACTTGATAACTTAGTGATACCTTCCTATATTGTCCCAGTACCCAGTACCCATTCTGTTATCATCTCTATACACATGACTCTCAGATTTGCTTGTCCAGCCCTAACCTCTCTCCTGACATTGAGTTGGACACCTCAATGACCCACAAACACCTTAAATCAACATGTATAAAGCCAAACTCACTATCCTTTTACCCAAACCAATTTTTCCTAAGTTCTTCTATTACCGTCAAAGTTTCCACCACTTCTCAGCCCTGCCCCACCTTGTCATCAGCAACTCCTCATCGTCATTCCTCACAGCACAGGGATTGGCACACAGCAAGCACTAAAGAAATGTTAATTATTTATAGTCATGCAGCATCACAAAAAAGAAGACTGTGATCAAGATGGGTTTTTGTTTCAGGGAAGAGCTTGGGATCCATGCTGAAAACAGCTACACAATTCCCCAAAGTAATCTAGTGTGTTCCCTTCCTCCTGCACCATTCTAGATCTGGCTCCCTTTCCACTTGCATGCAAATTAAAATCCAAGATTTATGTACTGATGAACTGGATCATTGGGTTGTCCATCCAAATGCATTTTAATTTGGACAACAGACTTTCTTTTCATCCATGTGTTTTGAATGATTTGTTAGGCTGAATTCTTTCAAGTGGTTATAGACTTCACTTAGAAGTTTCTGAAAAAGCATGATCTTCCCTTCATTGCAGACATGGGGCACTATGGACTATCAGAAGTGATTGATGAGCTGATTGATTTTGCTGAACTGTTTTTTTCCTCTCTTTTTTACATCTTTCTTTTAGGCATGGCTTGATGAAGAAGACAAAGAGGAGGAATATATTTGGAGATGAAAATGTAAAAACAAAAGATATTAATTAAAATAAGATTAAAATGAAAAAGGTTCTGTAGTATTCCAGGAGTTAATGAAAGCAGCAAAATGCCACCTCTAAGAGGCAGCATTTGGGGAACCTCACCATCTTCATACCTGTCATCAATTCTGTCATTGAGGATTCATAAATATTTCCTCTAAATGCAATCTCATTGATTCATGGAAACTTGTTTTTCACATAATAGTTTCACAGATGGCTGTACCATTTCCAACCATTTCCTGGAGAAAAGTTTTCATTTAACAAAGTTTAATATGCAGTGTTAATTAAACTCATCCAGGTCTAGCCAGCCACTGGCTTATTACCACATTTTTGTTACCTGAAATAATTTCTTCCCTTTGAAGTCACTGTTTTTAATGTAGCATTTTTCTTCCATATGTAGGCCCATTCACAAATAAAACAGAAGCTCTGAGTAGACCCAAGGTGTAATCCAAGTAAAAGAGTAAGCACTTTCAGATCCACACAGATATGTCAAAAACACTTTCATACTTAACGATGCTCATGAAAAGCTTTGTTTTTGAATAGATGTTGGTATGCTGTGACAAGAAATTCCATCTGTGATTTCTGGACAATTTAAGATCATGAAGAAGGTCACTTAAATCTTCTTGAATTTCTAAACAATGATCAGAGGAAAGAATGCTTCCTTCCAGTGGTGGATCATCATCTTGCTTTTCTCCTATCTTGTCATGCCATTGACTTCTTCATCAAAATTCCATATTTCTGGTGGTTGTGGTATAGGTTACACTGAATATATATATGAATATATATATGAATATATATAGGTTATATAAAACAGTTTTCATGGCTGATGGCAGATCTGGTACATTATGTTTAAACTTGAAGGTAGCCCCTGATATGTTTCTTGAACAAAAACAATTATCCGTGAATCATTTTTTAAATTCTCTCTGAATCTACAAATGACATGATTGATGTGTCCAGTTAGTAATCTAACAAATGAGATACTGCACAGGTGAAGCCCAAGCTTTATCCTGACCACTATTTTATAACCCAAATAACGTTTGCAAGCTTTCTTACCTGCTGAAAAAAAAAAGTTTAGTTACAGATTAAAAGTTAGCACATGGCATACTTAAAATTATTCAGATGACCAAAATTTGTGAGGCATAATGAAAAAATGTTTTTAGACCAGGTTTTCCATTTCACGCAGTCTGAAAGAGCAGAGGCTATTTAAGGATCCAATCCCAACTCTGAAAGTCACAGGAGCTTTAAGCTGATCCAATTCCAACCTACTGATCAAAAATTTCACAATGGATGTGCTTACTTTCAGTTCTCAAGAAAGTTCGATTCTCACTGGACTTTTCCATTATGAATTTTGATAACGAAGCATCAGTTTAATCACAGGCTAATAGATTAAAAACAGAGACACAGACTCACAGACACCAAAATGTTTACAGGATACTTTTTGTGGTAACAAAGAATTGGAAACAAAATCAATGCCCATCAATTGGGAAATGATCAAACAGATTGTGGTATATAAGCATGATGGATTATTGTACTGTAGGAAATGAGGAATATGATGAATACAGAGAAGGATAGAAAGATTTATATGAATGACTAATGAAGAATGAAGTTAAGTAGAGCCAAGAAAACAATATACACAACGAACAATATAAACAGAAAGAACAACTACAAAAAAGTATCAAAGCTGAATGTTGCAAAACTATAAAGAACAAGCCAGGCTTGAAAGAGACGATGTTAAAAGATTCTCCCCCCGCCACCAGAAGGTCCACAAATGTTGTACAATACACATATTTTAATACTTTCTTGATGTACTGATCAGATAGGCTGATTTTTTTCCTTTTTTTTTTCCTTTAAAAAACATTGTTATATGGGATGGCTTTCTGGGAGGTGGAGAAAGAAGAATACCGGGGGAATCTAAGGTGACTATAAGGTGGTATGTATGTATGTATCCTGTATAATTTACATGGATTTATTTGTAAAATGTCAGGATGGTAAATGTTTGGGGAAAGAGGAGGAGGATGTAACAATAAATCTCACTATCAACTATACAATTTTTGGTTTATAGAAAAACCAAGACTCATATTCCAAGTTGTTTAATGAAGGAATTTATATATGACATAATCTTGTTAAAAAAAAAAACAAAAAAGGTTATTTTTAGGACAGTTTTGTATTCTAACCAAGTTAATTAGCATATTATATGTCAAAGAATACAAAGGAAATATATACTCACAGGTACCTTTCAACAACATTTTTATGGTGAACCCTGGTCAACTTGTTACTGAAACACTAAAACTCAACACTAAATACAAACTTAGTAAAAGAGCAACTTTTTACTGCTGAGTAGCCTCCTGAACGGAGTAAAGATAAAATATAAACTCTGTATAAAACCTTTTAATGAAATGAAGACTTCCCTTTGGTTTTAAATCTTATCCTAAACAAACTATTCAGGAAACAATGAGCAAAGCCAAATGGGCTACTCCTCACAACCAGCACCACCACTTCCTATTTGGAAACTTTAAACACACAATAAACAGCAAAACTATATATTGCCTTTAAAACTTGGCTAACGAAGACACTATAGCATTCTGAATATAGCAATACAATTCAGGGTTTAACAAAATTTGAAAAGTATCTTTATTAGAAAAAGATAACATTTTTTATAATATTCATATTTATTCTTTGTTCCATTATAAGGGCACAGGATTTTTACTAGCAATAATCATTTCAAAAGTATTTCATTATTCAAGTCATATTATGAGACCCCCCCCCAAAAAACTATATAGCTCTTTTCTGCTTTATGCATCTTATTACCTTAAGGGTCAATTTTCTAACAATAGCTAATACTGAAAACTAACTATACAAGTAACTTGGTACAGTAAGAGGAAGTAAGTTTTCTTTGCAGCATACAAGATTTGGAATGAAATAGATCACAATTAACATGATTTCATTATTTTACTACCAAAAAGGGAGAAAAGATTGTTTATATGAAGATGGGCTTACCTCGAACATAAAAAATGACAAGCAGATAGGCTCCCAAAAATGTGGTGTAAATGCTTAGCTGAGTCATTGTTCAGTTTTTAATCTTCCCTGTGAACTGTCCCCCTGAGCAATAGGTCTTGTTACCCGATAAATTTTAAGCTCGTCTGTTTGGTGAAATTCTGCCTGCAATAGTTTGATAATTACTCCAACTTCTACTGCTGTTTCCTGCTTCCTGAAAGATAAAATGAAAGTAAGGTAGTGAGTAAACTCAAATGCTAAAAAGCTTTCTCAAACCAAGAAAGGAATAAATGCAAAAAACATGTTTTAAAAGACTAGATATAACTGAACCAATGCAAAGACCTCTTTTGCTCCTTGAGATAAGCCACTTTGATTCAAGAGCTGCTTTAAAAATGATTTACTAAATCAGATTTTAAAACAATATATACTATTGAAAGCACCTTAGCATTACTGTTTCAGAAAACATATAAGAATCACTCAAGGGGGCAGCTAGGTGGCGCAGTGGATAGAGCACTGGCCCTGAAGTCAGGAGGACCTGAGTTCAAATCCGGACTCAGACCAAACAATTGACACCCACTAGCTGTGTGACCATGGGCAAGTCACTTAACTCCAACTGACTTTAAAAAAAAAAATCACTCAAAAGTCAATAGGAATTGCTAGCCTTTGAGTTAACCTAAAGTACAGCCAGATATAGGGTCAGGCTAAGCTAAGATCTTCAACAATTTCCTCACGTTCTCTTTAAGCTAGCCAGAACCTAACAAGTATCCAACTCTAAAAAGATCCTGACTAATTTCCATAAATGGTGTTACCTGAAAAAGCAAGTCCACCTGACTACAAATCATGTCTAATTGGCTTTATCAGCATTTTAAAAACAAAATATTAATCTATCTTAAGAAAATTAAATAAACTGGATCAAATTGTAAGAACACTCTAGAAATTCTTTCCAAGGGTACCTTTTTTTTTTGAGTGAGGCAATTGAGGTTAAGTGACTTGCCCAGGGTCACAGAGCTAGTAAGTGTCTGAGGCTGGATTTGAACTCGGGTCCCCCTGACTCCAGAGCCAGTGCTCTACGTACTACACCACCTTGTTGCCCCTTGCTTTTTTTTTTTAAGCCATTATTAACAAAGGCAATTTTCGTTTTTAAATGTCTGGAAAACAATATAACAACATAGCTAACAAAAACAAAAGCTATTTGCATAGATTCAAGTCCTATCTGTCAGTCTTTCAAAGACTTTTTTTTAAGTTGTATCTCATAGCAGAGAGGAGATGGACTAGAGATACAGAATAAGGTGTACATTCTCAGACCTGACCAATTGTGTTGATGTCTTTGGTTTGACTGCATTTATTAGTGGAAATGAGGGAGAGCAGAAGGTTAGTGGGTGGTGATAGAAAAATAACATCAATAGAAACATTTTAAGATCACAAAAAGAAAATGAAAAAAGTTCAGAATGGGAACACAATAGAGGACAGTTTTATATAGGTTGTTAAATTTAACATAAACTTTAAAAAAATACAAACTATGTAGCAGAAATTCACAAAATCATATACAACACTCTTTGTTAGAGCAAAACATTTTTGTTTGTTTACGACAAGCTGCAGAGCAATTGCTGGCCTGCATTCCTAGTGGAAGTTTCCTCATTAGGAATCTCTTACATCATTTAAAGCAAAGGGCCCAGTCCTCTCACCTAATTCTAACTTCCTGGGGTGACTTTTATAAAAATTTGATTCCATGGGATTCAATACTTCTTTTTTCTGAAAATTCTGAAATCTGCTATCCCCAAAAATATGTCAGAATATACCCAGGTTTCCTGCCCTTCTCAACCATAAATTCTAGGAAGCTATGGTCACTTTACCTCATGGATCACATAATTTCCAGCCCAACAATCAGTTTCTCCTATCTGGTGAAAACTAGATCCAGGCTAGAAGTCCCCTCCTTGGTTCCTTCTCTTTTTGAAGAAAGAAAAGATGATCGAGGCAAGTCAAGAAATTATTTAATTGTTCCGTTTTGAGCAGAAAGATTGCTCTACCAGGTGTCCAAATAAGTAAACCCCCCTCCTAATTCCTGGCAGTCTGTGAGTGCTCTCCTCAGCTCTTCCATCTGCACTGTTGTTCACAATGCCAACAACATGGCTTCCTTTCCTATTTCTGTCATTTTTACCCACTGCCTCCTCCCTGCTTGCTGGGTCTCTTCACATGAACTTATCTCCTTACAATGTTACTCTGCTCCCCTTTCCCTCCTCTTAAAAGAATCCTATTCTTTTTTAATATACTCTTTTTCAAAGTCATTTTCTATTCATGTGTCTCATCCCACAAAGTCCCAGGGTCAAACTTACTTCCTTGGGATAGGATGAATCTCTAGTTTACTCTGTCTGTTAGTCATGTCTTATAATTTTTTTCAATTGTGTGTAGATAGCTGAAAACATGAGTTTCACTGCTGGCCATTTTCTTGTAGTCTGTGTCTTGCAAAGTTCTGGACATCTCTACTGTTATTCTTTATATGCTACAACTCTACTCTATGTTGATGCCAGAGGTGATAAGGAACCAGTGGAATTAACTGAATGGGGGTGGGGGTGACACAGTCAGATCTGCACTTTGGAAAAGCAATCTGATAGCTAAGTGGATGATGGACTGGAGCGGAAAGAGACCTGATGCAGGGAGAGACCAGCCAGAAAGGTGTTACAATCGTCCAGACATGAGGTGATGAGATCCCACATCAGCATAGTGGGACTGTCGAGAAGAGAGAAATAGGCATATATACAAGAGATGTTAAGAAGGCAGAACTGATAGGACTTGGCAAGAGACTGGGATGAGAGGAAGGAAGGAGTTCAGGATGACCTGTAGGATGTGAACATGGCTGGGACTAGGAAGATGGTGATGACCTTGACAAGTAAGAGGTAAATGAGGAAGAAGGTAGAGTGAGGGAGAAAAGTGATAAGTTTAGTTTGGGAATGTTGAGTTTAAGATGTCTGTGGAGCATCTGGTGTGAGATGTTTGACAGGGAATAAGAGATGCAAGAAAGAAGTCTGGGCTGGATAAAAAAATGTGAGAATCATTAGCGTAGAGATGACAACTAAATCCATGGGAGCTGATGAGATCACTAAATGAAATAATATAGAGGGAGAAAGGAAGAGAGTCCAGGACAGAGCACTGGAGGGATGCCCATGATTAGTGGACTTGGATGAAGACCCAACAAAGGAGCCCAAGAAGTAGAAGTCAGACAGATGGGAGGAGAAACAGGAGAAAGCATTGTCAAAAAACATCTTCATCCTGCACTTCCGAGGTTTTCTCAAACTTCTTCCTGTCTCCTGAAACTTCCCATCCCCCTCCTACTTGGAAGGTCTTAGCAGAATCACGTTGCCTTTGCAGGTCATCTGATCCTGCCATCCCATCAAAGTTTCATTCTGTATCTCTCCTTTTTCACTAAACTCTTAGGAAAAGCTGACTACACTTTTTATCTGTACTTGTTCACCTCCCACTCACTTTTCAACACTTTTTAATCTGGCTCCTGATCATTCTACTATTGAAACTGCTCTTTCTAAGATGCCAGATAGTCTCTTAGCTGCTAAATCTAATGGACTTTATACTCAGTCCCCGTGACCTCCCTGCAGCTTTTCTAATTGTGGGCCAACTCCTTCTCCTACATAGCTTTTTCCCTCTGTATGTCCATGGCTTGCTTTCTCCCAGTTTTCTTCTAATCTAACCTGCTCAGTGTCTGTAGCACCCTTAAGCACAAGGGCCCTCCTCCTAAGGTTGGTCCTGTGTGACCATGTGCAAATCAGTTAATCTTCAAGCATTAGCCTCCCCCTGTATAAAATGGGGGTGTTAATAATTGTTCTATCTGAGAGGGTTATAAGGATCGAGTACAATAGTGTGTAATGACACATTTAACAATGAGCAATATCCAGAATCCTGAAAGTTAATCTTTACTCTAAAATTTTTAAAAAAAGAATGAAATTCTCTGGAGATTAAGACAAATAAAGTCATCCATAAGAAAGTCCCAAAGTAGGGACAGAACTATCTTTCTTTTGTCCAGTTGTTAAAGCTGGTTACAAATTTTAGTTAACAAGATCTGGGAGAAGGATGTGTTTTAAGAGACAAATTTCTAGGGTAAAAGTTATCAGTAATCTTACTACTCTATCATTTTTCTGAAAAGTTTAGCAAGTGGGGGAGGCAGGCTTTTGTGTGCCTTTGTTTCCTTTTTAAAAAATACTGTTTATATGCATAAAAGAAAATTCTGAGACAGGAATAGGCTGTCTGCAGGAGAACTGTTTATAAATTAAAGACCTATGATAATTTATCTGAACCCTGTCTGACTAGTAATGGAGGTTAAGTGTAAAGAGACCCTCAAACTACAGCTTAAAACTGTCAATGTAAACACCTATAATGGCAGTTGGTTAGTTTAAGGTCAATTTTAAATTCTTTTTGCAAGATAAAGTGAAGATATCTAAAGGGTCTTATACGATGTAATTACCTTACTACTAAGCATCAACTTACCTCACCCCCCTCAAAAAAATCTGAATGTTACTATCTGGCAATTGTTTTAAGATATAAACAAAAATGATGATTTCAGCACTGCGTTTTCCTTTTTAAAGATAAAGAAAAATGTATCTAAATCATAACAACACTGGTTTACACTAAAATTTTGAGTGCTGCAAATCTGATTCATTTTGTTACTCAAAAACTATTACCTATGCTGGAATTCCATGAGATAAAATGCAAGTACACTCCCTCTCCAAATGACCTGTATTCATTTTGAATATATCATGTCCATATTTGTGTGTGTGCAGGTTGTTTTTCCTGTTAGAAAATAAGCTCCTTAAGGGCAGAGAGTGTTTCATACTAATCTTTGTATCGTCAGACCTTAGTACAATGCCTGACACACAATAGACACTTAAAATGTTTGCTGACTGATTTTAAAATCACAGAATTTTAACTGCCAAAAGAGATCTATAAATTTTCACAATCCAACCCGATTTGCAGAAGAGTAAAAAGACTGAAAGAGATTAAGGGACTCGTCTGAAGTCCTACTGTGGGTTAGTGGCAAAGCCAGGATTAAAATCCAAGTCACCTGACTCCTTCATCAGCTGTCTTTCTAAACTGATACTATGCTGTTGTTTATTCAAATCCAACTAACTTTACGGGTTGAATTACCTATTTTTGAACTACAGGGCATCTAACTTCCACCAAACCCCTTCTGCTGATCTTCCAGAAAAA